CTATACTATACTATACTATACTATACTATACTATACTATACTATACTCCCTGCCTGATGTCAGCTCCCCTCAGGACCCTGGGAAAGATGTTACCTGTTTGCTCTGGCTAGCATGCTATGACTTATGGATGTGTGTGTATATATGTCTGTGTTTGTGTGTATCATGATTCCCTACCCAGTGTTCAGCTTTTCTCTGGTTTGCTACAGGGGGTAATGCAGCAGTGAACAATGACCCCGAAGTGGATGGGGAGGATGGGGTCTCCTTCATCAGTCCATTGGGCATCCTGTATACCCCGGCTCTGAAAGGTACCCCCCTCTCTCCCTCCCAGAAAGCAGCAGTCAGGTCCCTCCAGACCATAGCGCCAGGCCACAATTGGGCCTCAGGACAATATAGATCCATGGTGTGCTGTGTTCTATGGTCACATGATAAGTGATCCACTTGCAAATAGGAAGCCCCCACACCTCCAACCCAGCTAGTTCAATCAATCATTAATGTGTCAGGCACTGCGTTAAGCATTGGATATACAAAAAGAGGCAAAAACAAAACAAAACACTCAGATCCAGCAAGAATTTCTTAAGTAATTACTACATGCCAGGCATTGTGCTAGGCACAAAGTTAAAAGTGGAACAGTCTCTGCCCTCAAGGAGCTTGCATTCTATACATACACACACACAAACACACAACCATTTCAAGACTCTCACCAAGACATCTATGATTCCTTCACCACCCACCAGCCCACCTAGACAAACGTATGCCTCTTCTAGACAACTTCCCCTCAAATAACGTAGCCCTCCACTTCATGGAGTGATGCTACTGAGGGGAACATAGGAAACAATGTGCAGATAATCCACAGAAACCACGTGAAGAAGAGGAGAGCTGCCGAAAGCCCCAGGTCCACCCCATCAGTGGAACCCCTGGGTGTTGGTAGATGCTCGGAGGGGTTGGCGGGAGAGCCATCCTCCCTGGCGCAGGCTGATGACGGTGTTTCCTGACCCTCCCTTGTTCCCTCAGTGATGGAGGGCCACGGGGAGGTGAACATCAAGCTTTATTTGAACTGCAGCCATTGTGAGGTGGATGAGTGCCACATTGACCCGGAGAGCCACAAAGTTATCTGTTTCTGTGAGCATGGCACAGTGCTGGCTGAAGATGGGGTCTCTTGCATAGGTGAGAAAGCCGGGGCCTGGGAAGCTGCTGGGCAAGGGGCTGGTCCCACAGTTACTCCCCTGCACTGTTTCCTTGCCCCGCTCCCCCCTGGGAAGAATGGAAACAACTGCTTGAAAACAGTATGGAGAGAGACCTTAGCTGGTCATGGATCACAGCAGGAGTCATGCTCAGAGGGACCTTAGAGGTCGCTCAGTCCCACTCACTCATTTTACATTCAAGGAAACTGAGGCCCAAAGTCACATAAGTAGTAAGTGTCAGAGCTGGGTCTCAAACTGAAGTTTCTTGTCTTGACTTGCAGTCCAATGTATATTCAGTCCTTTAGTGGTATGGAAACAACTGAGATTATCACCTGGTTAGCAATAAATAATTAGTTAAAATAGGAAGCTATAGGAAATTGGTATTTTCCTTCCCCATCTTATCCCTCAGTGATTACACCCTAGATGATCTCCCACGATGGTGGCCTCCCTAGAGATGGCATTCTGCTAGTTGATGGTTTCTGCTAGGCCTTCCACCCCCAATTGAAGTAAGGGCATATTTCTTGTGCCACTTGCTCCAGGGACAAAAACCGATTGTTTGGGCTCTTTATATAGATAGAACTTTGATTCTGCTCCTAAACTGTCTCTCTGAGCTCATAAAAGGAGGAAAATGTCCTCTTCTGAATGTGCTGGATAAGGAAGGAATGAAGAATGTTCCATGGGTGGGGGATGAAGACAGAAGTACCCTTAGGGTAATTCCAGAGTGGAGGCAGTTCTCAGTCCCTCCTCTTAATCTGTCTTCTAGTGTCACCCACCTCTGAGCCTCACCTGCCTCTCTCTCTGATACTGTCTGTTGTGACCTCTGCCCTGGTGGCTGCCCTGATCCTGGCATTCTCGGGCATCATGATTGGTGAGTGTGCTGGGGCCTACTGGAGGCAAGGATTGTGTGGTGTGTGATAGAGTTGCCAAAGAAATAGAGCCTTGCTCTTATGAAAGGTGAAGCTTCTGAGATGCTCTCAGGGTGATTTAGACACCCTTGATGGTGGGAGGGCAGAAGTACCAAGAAGGGGCTTCATTCACCCCTATAGCAGCTTGGTTGCTATAATTATGGAGCCTTCTTCTTCATGGAGAAGGAAGAGATCTGTCCTCCCCCAGTCCTCGACCTACCACTTGTTGGTAAATGTCTGACCAGTTATCAGTCCGTGCCTTTCCAACTCAAGGCCATTTTCAGGTGATTTGCTTCTAGAATTCCCTCAAAAATCCACTATCACATTCCCCTTGGGTCTCCTCTTGTCCAGGCTGAGCCTGCCCAGTTCCTTCAGTATCTTCTCATTATGCTATGGCCTCAAGGTTCTTCACCATCCTGGCTATCCTCCTCTGGATGCTCCTCAATGTGTCAGTGTCTTTCATATGTTGCCCCCAGTAGCAGATGGGGAGGGGGGTGTGGAAATAGATTCAGAAATAAAAGTGATATAAAAACAAAAAGGTAACAGTTTTTAATGCTTAAAGAGTGGGGGAAAAAAACTGTGATACCAAGAACTGAACACAATAATCCAGAGGGGATGTGACCAATACCTGGTCTTAAACATCATGCCCCGATTCATGTACCCCAAAATTACATGAGCTTTTCTGGTGGGTGAAGAGGTTATGTGACTTACTCAGGGCCACACATATTCCATCCATCATCAGGCCCATACAGAAGCCTTTTTTTCAGCACCTTCCACATCCTGGGATTCCCTGGTATAACCTTGAAACCCCAAGGACACCTCCATGACACAAAGGATCACTGGCATAGGTCTTTAATGGAGAAATCGGAGTAAGTGTCAAGAGCTCTCAGAGTGGACAGACACCGTGCCCCTCTGTAGCTTAATACTCCTCAGGGTATTTCAGCAGGGTGCTACTGTGTTTGGATTCTCATTCCTCTTGCTAACACATTAATGCAGTCTGTGATGGACTTCTCAGCAAGATGCATCAGAAATGGCCCCAGAGCCTTGATGGTCCTTTGGCTGTGCCCAGTAAGCCTCCAGCTGCGTGGGTTTGTCTCTGTCTCCAGTGTACCGCAGGAAGCATCAGGAACTCCAGGCGATGCAGATGGAACTGCAGAGCCCCGAGTACAAGCTGAGCAAACTGAGAACCTCAACCATCATGACTGACTATAACCCCAACTACTGTTTTGCCGGCAAAACCACATCCATCAGTGACCTCAAGGAGGTACCTCGGAAAAACATCTCCCTCATTCGGTAAGTCCCAGTCCACTCTCTCTCTGACAGCCGGAGTCTAAGACAAGGGTAGCAGCATGCAAGATGGCGGAGCTCAAGATAGCAGAAGGAGTTAGAAAACCTGGGTTCAAATTCCAGTTCTGCTAGTTACCACCTTTGTGACCATGAGCAAGTCACTTATCAACTCTAGGCCTTGGTTTTCATCTGTAAAATGCAAAGGCTGGATTAAATGATCCCTGTGATTCCTTCCAGCTCTGGAGTTCCGGACTTGAAGTCAAGAAGACCTGGGATCAAATCCCAGTTCAGATGCTTACTCTCTATGTGACTCTGGATCACATAATCTCTCTGTGCCTCACTTTGTTCATTTGTAAAATTAGGGGGTTGAATTCAGCGCCTTCTATGATACTTTTCTGTGCTGAATCTAAGATCTTGTGTATGTCACGGAACTGAAAAGTTTCAGTGGAATTGGTCTGATGTTGACTGCCAACAGGGTTGAACTCTCATATTCCCAATGACTTAGACCTGGCAGAAAAGTCAGGTAGAAGTAATCTAATCAAGCCCCCTCATTTTAGGAAGTTTTTCTAAGAAATGATTAGGCACTCCCTCAGAGCATCTCACACAGCCCCTACAGGAGGGAAGGATTTGATCTAATCATTCTTTCTGTTAAAAAATATACTTCTGCTGCTTTATATAATTTACGGTATACCCTTCACAATTCCAAAGAAAGCCAGAGGTTTCATTTTTAGACTGTTTTCACTACACATTTTAAAGTAGTTCTCAATTTTCACTTTATATCAGCAAATTGAATGAACATTTGGTTATCATACTTACCAAAGCTAATAAGAGCAGATAACTTTCAAGTCATTGAGAGGTAAATTAGTTCTGACTTCACAATGATATCTGGGGAGAAATTTTTGTCCTGTAGTATTATTAGGAAGACAATAGCTGTTATCAATATTACTGATATTACTGGTGGGCAGGCCAGTAGACCTGGGTTCGAATCCTTTATGACACTGGGCAAGTCAGCCTTTCTGGGCCTCAGTTCCCTCATCTTAAAAATCAAAGGGTTATACTAGATGTGGTTTTAAAACCTTGTCCAGCTCTAAACCCCGTGATTCTGTGAGGAAAGCCAGGCTCAGAGATGGGGTCATGGAAGCCTTTCCCTGCTGTCCCAATCCACAAGACCCAGTGTCAGTTTAAGGCAGGAAGTGGAAAAGGTAATTTCAAGGCTGAATGACCACATGTCAGGTATGATGTAGAAAGGATTCTTGTTCAGGTATGGGATGTGGCCTGTGAAGTTCCTTCCAATTCTGAGATTCTGTGATCTGTGAAAAACAAACACTATTTTCTTTTATTTAACTTTAAAAATGTAATTATTCTACCTATTTTTCTTCAAAAAATTATGTGTACTTTTAACAAAATAAGTCTATGTATTTTAAATTTTTTTTAACTTTCAATTCTAAATGTGAAATGTATGATTTTTTAAAATAGTATTTCAAGCTAGTCAACATGAGAGGCTTGTTATGAAGTAACTAAAGTCTCCTCACACATAAATACATTTGAAAAGAAAGATGAGCTTTCCTGCTTTTTCAGTTCACAATGATTTCTCAGTTTGAATGAATGTATTCAAAAGAAGCAAATCTTTTTTCATGCCTATAGAAGGATCTGTTTTTGTTAAAACCAAGATTATCTCTTCCATCTTTTGCAAATATAGATGTTAAGAGATGGGTTCATTGATGATTTTCTGTAAAATTTCATCATTAAACAGCTACTGCTTGTCTTTGTTGTTGTTCAGTCAACTCTTCATGACCCCAGTTGGGTTTTCTTGGCAAAGATACTGGAGTGGTTCACCATTTCCTTCTCCAGCTCATTTTACAAATGAAGAAATTGAGGCAAACAGGGTTAACTGACTTGCCCAGGATCACATAGCTACTAAGTGTCTGAGGCCAGGTTTGAACTCAGGTCTTCCTGACTCCAGGTCCAGTGCTCTATCCACTGTGCAACCTAGCTGCCCTATTGCTTGTCTGGTCCATCCTAAATCCTCTAATACTATACATTATATATTCCAGAAAAACAATTACTGGATAATCATGTTGTAACCAACTGCTTAAGCCCATGAAGGGGACTTGCATACCACCTGCGAATCTACCAGCAACCTGCCCCTGGTTCATCTCACTCTTTCTTCTGCTTTGTCCAGGGGTCTGGGCCATGGTGCCTTTGGGGAGGTGTATGAAGGACAAGTGTCTGGAAGCCCCAGTGACCCCAGCCCCCTACAGGTGGCAGTTAAGGTAAGGAATAACCAATATTCCCATGTGACCTGGGATATCAAGGTCTGAGTCACTCCTTCTGAAAAGTACATCATCTGTCACTCATTCTGACTTAGAGCTTTCCCTTCTCTCTTCCCTCGCCCTTTCTATGTCTGCATCCAGACGCTTCCAGAGGTGTGTTCGGAACAGGACGAGCTGGATTTCCTCATGGAAGCATTGATCATTAGGTAAAGTGGCCCATCTTCTCCTGAGGGAGGAGCGCAGAGAATCCCCCCTGGAATGGGGAAGTCTCAAAGGAAAGGTGGTCTTCACATCCTCTGGGCATGCTCTCCCACCGAAGTTTAGAATCTCTGACGGCAGTAAAACTCTCCCCAGGGAAGCGGGAAGAAATTCCAGTAGTGTTATGACCTAAACAGCCAACCACCAATTCCTATTGATAAAGAGAAGCTACCATGTCCCTGCATACCACCTCTGTCCCCTTCTACTTTTCTATGATTTTTCTATGATCTTGAAAATTCCCAATAATCTGGAGAAAGATCCTTCATCCCTTCATCAGACTCAATATAGTAGACTTTTGGGGGTCACAGTAGACTCTTATATGGGTGGGAAAGTTGAGGAAAGGCATTAACTAGACTGATCTCTCGAGGTTACTTCTAAATACATGACAATAAAAGGTCATCATCTCAACCAAGCATCCCAAATGCCCTGTGGTTCTTGGGATTCTCTGGAACCCCAAAATTACTCTAACCACCTGACTCTAGCTGGACCTTACCTGGGCTACTGTTGCCCCAAAAGTGACTAGTTTTATGTATTCTAGAGATTTCTCTTTAATAAATGTGTAATTATTTTAACAAAACAACCATTGTATTTTAAATTTTTAATTGCTTTAATTATAAATGTGGTCTGTTTTTCAAAAATATTAGGATGTTTCAAGCTGATCAATATGAGAAACTTAAAATATTGGGTTATAAAGCTAAGTCAAGTCCATGTGCTCACAAATAAACAAAAAAAAAGAAAGAAAGATGAGCTTTCCTGCTCTTTCAGTTCATAAATGATTTCTCAGGAAGAACTATGAATGAGATGAGGAAGGGTAGAGCAAATGGCTAGTTACTGAATGGCTGTTGCCTCAGTCACACTGAGACCTGTTAATGAGTGCAGTTAGACAGCTGAACAAGTCTCTATTTTATCACAGCTAACTTTTGACACTCCCTTCTTTTTCTTCCGCAGCAAATTCAACCACCAGAACATTGTTCGCTGTATTGGGGTGAGCCTGCAGGCCCTGCCCCGATTTATCCTCCTAGAGCTGATGGCTGGAGGAGACCTCAAATCCTTCCTTCGGGAGACTCGCCCTCGCCCGGTAAGTGAGTCTGATGGGTAAACAGTGTGACAGATGGTATAATTGGGATGGGACTGAATGATCTTGAAAGTCAGTGCATGCCAGCGGTTCAGGACATAAGGGAAATCAATTGATGGCCCGAATAAAGGGAATGACCAGAAAGGAATAACTGGACAATGGTAATAGTCAAAGTATACAAAGCTAATGCAAAATTTTCAGGCTTAAGTTAATTAACTAATTAACTTTTGGACTAATTAATTTTTAAATATGGTCTAATGGGACGAGAATTGGGCTAAGAGTCAAAAGACCTGATTTGTTATCTGAGTTCTCAGTCAGTGACCCCGTAAGTCTCCACAAACCAGATTTAGACCTAATTAAACCAAGGATTTAGGGTTAGAAGAAACCTGAGAGACTGTCTAATCCAACTCTTTCATTTCAGCCCTAACCTCTCTCCTCACCTCCAGTTTCATTCACCAGCTGACATTTAGCCATCTTGAACTGGATGTCATGTTTTACTATTGCCGTTCAGTCATTTTAGCCATGTCCGCCTCTTCATGACCCCATCTGGGTTTTTTTGGCAAAGATATTGGAGTGGTTTGTTATTTCCTTCTCCAGTTCATTTTACAGATGAAGAAACTGAGACAAACAAGGTTAAGTGATTTGCCTAGGGTTATATAGCTCTTAAGTGTCTGAGGCCAGATTTGAACTCAGGAAAATGGGTCTTCCTGACTCCAGGCCAGGTACTCTATCCTGTTTTTTAGCAGCTCCTTTTAGTATCACTTTTTAGAATAACTAATATCAATAACTGGCATGTATATAATGCTTTAAAGTTGGCAAAGCATTTTATATAAGTTATCTCTGATCCTCAAAATAAGCCTGTGATGTTGTTCACTTGTTTTACAAATGGGGAAACTGAGACTGGGAGAGGTTAAGTGACTTGCCCAGAATCACACTGCTAAGTAAATATCTGAGGCGTTATTTGAACTCAGGTTTTCTCAACCCTAAATCCAATACTCTTTGCATCTACAATGCAAAGACATTCTAGCAGTGGGTAGTATGACAGAAAAGAGATGGTGGGGACATACAGTCAACAAGCACTTATTAAGTACTTCTCTGCACTGGGCACTGTGCTAAACACTAGGAATAGTAGACAGACAGTCCCTGCCCTCCAGAAGCTTACATTCTAATGGGGGAAGACATCACACAAAAGAAAGATGGAAAAGGGGGGCAGCTAGGTGGTACAGTGGATAGAGCACTGGCCCTGGATTCAGGAGGACCTGAGTTCAAATCTGACCTCAGACAGATAACACTTACTAGCTGTGCGACCCTGGACAAGTCACTTAACCCCATTGCCTAACCAAAAAAAAAAAAGATGGAAAAGAAGTAAGTTGTCAGGCAGAAAGCAGCATACCTCCTTCCCAACCTGGGGGAAGATGAACACCCTACACCCAGTCTGCCAAAGAAAATACTTGAAAATTGCTACCCTATGTGGACTCATCTACCTGTGAGAGCTTGGACAAGTCTCTGTCTTTCAGACTCAGCTCTTCATCTGATCGGAGCAGATGACTTCTAAGATCCCTTCCAATTTTAAATTTATGATCCTATGAATTGAATCAAATTGAATTGGTCATGAAAAAAATGATAACTTGTAAATTCTCCAGGCATTGTTCATAGACGACAGGGGATTCTTTGCAATAACTACACCACCATCCAGGCTAGGCTTTATATCCTGGGTTCAGTTGCCTTTAGTGGTTTCTGTTAAAGTTAGAATTCCCCTTCCTCGACTATTGTATCCTATTGTTGTTGTTGTTATTTGTCCTTCCTTCTCTAAGAGGACCAATGACATCAAGGAGGTGATGCCATGACTTGCAAGTGAATTGGATTTAAGTGAAGAGGGGCTGTGCAAGGTCACCAGCCTCACTGTTCTCTCCAGAGTCATCTGGGTCCAGTGGCACAATAACAACCACCTCTGGGAGAATTCCCCTTCCTTGGCTATCCTATCCTATTGGTGAGCCCAGTGAGCCCAGAAGCAGACCTCTTTCCTGAATCTAAAGGGATGTATTCAGGTGACAGTCACAGATATGTCTGAGAAGGCAAGGGGAAGCTGGTGGCCCCAGGGGTCTCCAGTGGTACGCAAGAAGCCAAGAAGAGATCATTTCTGCTATCGCACCCAAAGGAAAGAGGGCTGCATATTAAGCAAAGAAAAAGTCATGGGGAGCTGAGATTTGCTGCTACAGGCTCATAATTGACTACGAATAGGAACTAAGCCATGTGGGCCTCAGCACAAGGTCTGGAGCCCATGATGCCGCAGCTACCTCCTTGCTGGCAAAGAAGTCAGTCTCCTTTGATGATGAAAATTGCTTCGGGTATTTTTTTCTCTAAAGGATTCATCACCTACAAACCATCCTTCTAATGAGGATGAGAACAGCAGCCTGCAGGCTCACTCCTTTCTCTCCTCCCCCACCATCTTTCCTCACCCCAACCGTCCAGGCCAATAGCCACCCATGCCAAGCTCTGACCTCAGACAGCAGGGGAAGGAAGGAGCTCATACAAGGTCCAAGGTCAAACAAAAAGTGTTTGGAAGGGAAGAGTCCGTTAAGTGGTGGCTTTTCAATGTCAATGCCCCATATACTTCCTGAATTCTTCATCCCCTGCTCCTCTCTTCCTTCTCTACTTCACCCAGTCAGTCAGTCAACCAGCCCGTATTTAAGCACAAACTATGTGCCAGGCACTGTGATGCAAATAAAGGCAAAAAAAAACCAAAAAACCAAAAACAAAACCAGGGTCCCAGCCTTCAAGGAGGTCACATTCTAATGGTCCAGACAGTATGCAAACAACTATGTATATGCAAGATATAACAGCTAATAAAAATAATAGCTAACATTTATATAGTGCCTACTATGTGCCAGGTGCTGTGCCGATCACTTTACAAATATCTCTCTTGCTCCTTACAACAACGCTAAGAGATAGGTACTATTATTGCCCATTTTGCAGATGAGGAAACTGAGGCAAATATGGGCTAAGTGATTTGCCCAGGGTCACTAATCAGGTCTTCCACTCTCTGGTCCTCCAGGGTGCCACCTAGCTTCCCTGAAGCTGTATACATATAGTGTAAATAGGAGGTAGTCTCAGAGGGAAGATACCATGGGAGGGACTGGGGAGTACAGACCAGGAAAGGCCTGCTGCAGAAGGTGGCATTTGAGTTTAATGAGGCAAGGGAAGCCAGGAGCCAGATCTTTCCCACAGAACTGATTTCTCCTTTTTCCATAACATTATTAGCCCCTCTAGTCCTTTCTTTCCTCTCCTCCTCCTCTTTGCCCTCTGGTTTCCCCTCCCCCTCATCCCCCTCTTTTCCCTCTTCCCCCTCCCCTTCCCCCCCTCTTCCTCTTCCCCCTCCCTCTCCCTCCTTCTCCCTTCTCCTCCCCCTCCCCCTCCTTTCCCTCCTCCTCCTCCATGCCTTTGGTCCCTCTTCACTTTCTGAGCTGATTCAGTCAATCTAGAGACAGCCCATGTAACTGAGCCATCCCGAAGGGACCAAGGGTAGACTGCTTCCCCAAGGGACTGATGCTGATTTCCTGACTTCCAGCTTGGCTCCTGAGGTCTTAAAAAAAATCCTCAAGACCAGGGAAGTGACAGATATGGCTTGAAAAGGACTTTTTCAAATCTTCAGTGGAAAGAACAGGGGACATTTTAGCCTGCAGTAGAATAAGACTAAGGGGGATCACGGTGGCTGCCTTTAAATATTTCAAAGGCTGTCATGTGAAAGAAGGATTAGGCTTGTTCTGTTTGGTCCATAAGGGCAGAATCAGGAGCAGTGGGGAGACATTGCCAAGGAACAGATTTAGGCTCAATGTCAGGAAAAAACTTCCAACTTATCTTCCTTAAAGGCAGGGACCTTCTAACTTCTTGCTTTTTTGTATTCCCAGCACTTAATAAATGCTTATTAGCATTATTAGCTAGGGATATATTGGAATCAGCTTCCACTCATTCCCAAGAGCCAATAGTTAAATGTTCAGTGTGAGCATTTATACCTTGGAAATCAGGCAAACATTACAGAATCACAGAATTTTGAATTGGAAGGTATGTAAGTGATTCT